GAATCATAGTCTAAAACTGTGTTGATGTGGAAATACTTTCTCAGCAATTTGGTTCATATTAGTTAAAATGTGCAGGGTGTTTGCAACAAAAAATATTTTGTGCTAATTAAGTCTATGAGTAGGTTATGATCATCATATTTTCTATGTCATATGTAATTATTAAACAGCTGCTGATTACTTTTTGACCAAACAAATGATTAATCAAATAATCACTGCAGTTTAAGACTATTTTAATGGATATTAATTTGGATATTTACAATGCAAATGGCCAAGTTTAACTCTACAAAATAAATAGTATCCTCAGATTATGACATACTCTAATGTATATCAAAATATTTAAGTGATGTCTCATATTCACAGTTTTCACTGTTGTATTTATTATACATTACAGTACAGGAAACAGGTAAACACCACAATGGGTATATCAAAATATAAATGTATACAATGTAGCTTAACCAGATTTCTTTTAAATTAATGCCTAATGAAGATAAATACACATAGGAAAATGAACGTTCGTGATTCATGTAGGAGAGAGTTAATGTCTACTCACACCCACTGTACATCTACAGCTCTGAACAGATACTGTGCACTAATCCCATCCTTTGGGTTTGTCCAAATATAAACCTGTCTGTTCGGAGGATAAAGGGCAGAAGATGATTTATCAGAATATAATACATCACTCTCAGGATCCAAGGTTTTGTGGTCCTTAGACCAAGCCGTGTTTGTGCCAGAAACAAAAACCCTGCTTTGTCTGTTGACCTTGGATACTCTGGCAGAACTGAACAGGTTTTGATATTTGTGACGCTAAAGACATTACGCTTTTGATTTGTTGTTGACTGAGTTGTGCCCTGTCTTGACTGTATTATCTGTGGAGTTTAACAGATGGCATTTGCGCTTTGATTGTTTCTGGCAACCTTTTCATGTGAGTTGTTGCCCGCGTATATTAACACTTTTGACACGTTTCCTTCATTTCGCCCAATAGTTTAGAGGCAGAATCTCATCTGACTCTGCTAAAGTGAACCTAGGCTGTCCTCTCCTCTCCTTCTCCAGATACTATGCAACTGTGCACCCTCTGAAAAAGCGCATTTCGGTCTTGGCGTGTACCTACCTTCTGACTGGGATCTGGCTGTTGTCCTGTTGTCTGGTGGCTCCGGCTGTGGCTCACACCTACCATGTGGAATTTAAGAATGAAGGCTTCACCATCTGCGAGGAGTTCTGGATGGGCCAGGAGAGAGAGCGGCTGGCTTACGCATACAGCACTCTCTTCATCACCTACGTCCTGCCTCTGTCGGCGCTCTGCATCTCTTACCTGTGCATCTCTGTCAAACTGCGGAACTGTGTGGTACCTGGCTACCACACCCAGAGCCAGGCAGAGGCTCAGCGCATGCGTAAGCGCAAAACCTTCCGCCTGGTGAGCCTGGTAGTTGCAGCATTTGGTGTGTGCTGGATGCCCATTAGCGTGTTCAATGTTCTGCGTGATGTTGACATCGATCTGATTGATAAGCGGTATTTTTTGCTCATTCAGCTGCTGTGTCACCTGTGTGCAATGAGCTCATCCTGCTGTAACCCTTTCCTCTATGCCTGGCTGCATGACCGTTTCCGTGCTGAGCTCCGCAAAATGTTTACATGCCACCGGCGCATCGGCATCTCGGGTAACAACTGCGCTACAGCCAGCGTGGTTTTGTGAAGCTTCTGTGCTTTAGGCTATTACTGGTTAGTCTTTGCTTCTCTGGCCAGTAGAATATACTCATCTCCTTCTGGTAACATAGCAGCCTAGTGCAGAATTAATTAGGCGTATATGCTGGAGGTAGATGCCAAACGTTCAAACTCCGATGTCTCTTAAAGGGGATATGAGGTTACAGAATGACTGGATAATTGCATGTTCCGCCCAAAACACACACCTGCTTTAAAGAGTAGACCAAACACCGCCCTTTTGCTACTTGAACTGTTTTTCCTAGTCCTCAAACTATCAAAATGAACATGGACACACCCAAACACTACTTGTGGTGGATCCTCAAAATAGGGCCCTTGAGCTTCAAAACCGCTCGAAAACCAATGGGTGACATCATGGTGGGTTTGTCCAGCTTTTATATACAGTCAGTGGGCTTAACTTGTATTAGGTGGCCTTAGTTTTTCTCAGTCGCTTTTGTACATTTCTCAGACAAGAAATGAACTTTTCTAAACTACTTGTTCAACCTCTACACCACCCAGTCACTTGTGCACATCATTCAAACATGTTCACATTGTTTTTAACAAATCATAAATGCTTTGGCACATACATGCAGCTGATTAGGTACAACTGTTTGTTTTCCACATTATCAGTTGCTTATGTCATGTTGATCAAAATGTATTATATAGCCTGACCTCCTAAATCATTAGTTCATTTAAGATGTCATTACATGCACAGTGGGTGAACTAGTTATCTTTAGTATCTAACACACATTTCTATACAGCTCTATTAGACTTTTTTACTAATCTTTCCTGAACTGTTGTGTGAAGCTCAGTGAGATCAACCAATGATCAGCCAGTTCTCTACTGTAAAATAGCTCAGAAGTGCAAATCATGAGCCTTCAGTTGGCAACCACATATATAAACAAAGTGCAACTCAGTGGTACAGTTTCTGACAATGGAAGAACAAGGAAAGGAACAGTATCAACTGCAGGGTAGAAGAAGAAGAGGGCTGCATGGTTGAAGGAGTAGAAAAGGCCACATACAGTCAGCACATTGTTATTCATGGCTTTAGAAAGGCTGAGACTGGTTGAAGGAAGCCAAATGTTGGGAGAACAACTGTTCTGTCTAGGTGGTGTTTCCTCTGTTTACATTTCTAATGTACTTGTTTCCTTTGTGCTACGCATTGTTGTAAAACACTTTATTTTCTGCATCACACTGACATTACTGTAAAAGCAGTAAAGGTGTCAATGTAAATACCCGCCAGTCTTTTGAAAGACATACACTCACTGGCCACTTTATTAGGTACACCTGTACAATTGTATGCAATTCAGTGCAATACCTCCACTTTAACATTTGTGTTTATGAAGGTCACAGTGTTTCAGTTTTTGGTGAAATTATCATAAATCTATAAATTCAATTATATGTTTATTATTGAGGTTATAGTTAAAGGTGGTGTTGTACTGCACTACATTATATTTAGAGGTGTCTATATTTTTTGTACTCTCCAGCTGCCTACATGAGAGGATCTGAATATTAGGAACACCTCTGAATATGACTGTACAGGTGTATCTAATAAAGTGGCCCATGAGTGTACAGTAATGTGAAATTTTGTGCTGTTGAAATTGATGCATGCCATAGAGAAAATGTGCAGACTTGTGTATTTTCAGTCACTGTCATCAAAACCTGAGGCATAGTTTTCATATGAAAGTACTTACATTTTACATTACGCTGTTGTATTGACAACATGACTTATTCTAACTGCACTGACACATTCATTGACATTAGTATTTGGTTTCAAGAGATAAACCACAGGTTTGAGCAAATGACACACTTTTGGAGCTAATCCATTGTGTTGTGCTGTTTGTATGAATTGTTTTCCTCTATTTTTTTTTTTTTTTTGCAAATATCAAGAATGTTTTGAGAAATGTACCAAAACAACTGAGAAAAACTAGAATGTCACTCTTGTGTCAAAAAGAAAAAGAAAAAGGCTCTATTGTCTACTAATATGTATAGGCATGGCTAAAAACATTGGCTCCCCTGCATCTCTGTCAGATAGCACACCACTTCTCCCAGAAAACTGTTGCAATCACAAATTCTTTGGTATTCTCATCTTTATTTCTTTTGTTTGCATTGGAACAACACAAAAAAGCCAAATCTGATACACTTCACATAGGACTCCAAAATGGGTAGAATTATTAACACCCTCAGCTTAATATTTGGTAGCACATCCTTTGGACAAAATAACTGAAACCATTCCCTTCCTGTAACCATCAGTGACTTTCTTACACATCTCTAATGGACTTTTGAACCCCTTGACAATGTTGTGCACAGTGGACACAGGAACAGCCAGATCTCTGGAGATGGACTTGTCCATTGTCCAGGCTTTCCACCCTTGTGGTTCTCAAATCCTCTAACAATTCTTAGCTCTTCTTTCTTTTCTCCGCGCTCAGTGTGGTCCACACAACGCAAAGGTTGAGTCAACTTTTCTCCATTTTAACTGGTTTCAAGTGTGATTTCTCTATTGCCAGCACCTGTTGATTGATATAGGTGAGCTTCATTACAAATTAAAGGAGCATCACATGCTTAAAATACAACTGTTTCTGATGATTTTGAAAAGGTGTCAATAATTCTGTCCAGTCCATTTTTGGAGTCCTGTGTTGAATGTGTTAGATTTGGCTTTTTTCAGTTTTTTTGTGTTGTTCCAGTGCAAACAAAACAAACATGAGAATACCAAAGAATTTGTGACTGCAACAATTTTCTGGGAGAAGTGGTGCATTACCTGATAGCAATACAGGGGTGCCAAAATTTTTGGCTGACTGTAGCTGTATGCTTCAAAAAATACCCCACTGATTTAGCATTAAGCTCCCTTCACTTCGTCAGCCTCTCAGACAGCTTGAAACATTCTTTGCCCTTGGGAAAACCTGGCACCAACATTACACAACCCGAACACCAACGGTTCAGTTTATTCAATTTTATTTGTATAGGACCAAATCACAACAAAAGTCATCTCAGGACACTTTACAAAGAAATAATAATATTATTATTGTAAAGGGAAAAACCCAACAAATCCCCTTTGAGCAAGCACTTGGCAACAGTGGGGAGGAAAAACTACCTTTAATGAGAGAAACCTCCGACAGACCCCGGCTCTTGGTGGGCGGCCTTCTGCCTCGACCGGTTGGGGTGAGTGGATAGAGGAGAGACAAAAGAAGAAAAGCAACAAGACACAACAAACACTGGGCAGATTGATGTAACAAACACTGGGCAGATTGATGTGACCAGTGACTGCTTTTCAGAAACATACAGCTCCAGAGCCAGCACTACCTGTAGGGAGAGAGAGAGGACACGCTACAGGAGAGAGAAAGCACAGTTAATGACATGTAATGCTGGTATATAGACCTTACAGATGCATGGAGAGGGGGAGAGAGAGAGCGAAGAGGAACACATAGCATCATGGGGGACCCCCAGCAGCCTAGACATATGGCAGCATAACTAAAGGAAGGCTCAGGGTCACCTGAGCCAGCCCTAACTATAAGCTTTAAGTTTTAAGTCTAGTCTTAAAGGTAGAGAGGGCGTCTGCCTCCTGATCTGAGACTGAGAGCTGGTTCCACAGGAGAGGAGGTGGATAGGTAAAGGCTCTGCCTCCCATGCTACTTCTGTGGACTCTAGGAACCACAAGTAGACCTGCACTCTGAGAGCGAAGTGCTCTGTTGGGATGATAAGGGACTATGAGGTGTTTAAGATACTGTATAATGGAGCCTTGTCATTAAGGCCTATAAATCTGCTAAGCTAACTTATAAAAGTGTCAAGTTAAAATTTGTCACAAATGTATACCTGTAAATAGCACTAGATAATTTGCTTAAACAGCTGAGGGCTGTTTTCTGCAACTGTTACTCAAGCAAGAGTAAATTGTAAACTTGTTTGGTGAATATTTTCTGCCATGAATTTGGTGCAAGATGTAGCTCGTTTGAATGTTACTCAAGTGATAATTATGTAGATATTTTATGTATGTAGACTGTATTTATTTGAAAATGCACCAAGAAAAATAAAAATCACAATCTGGTGAAATAATTAGTGTCTTTATTTGAAATAAAACCATATTTAGCTGTGCATCACTTTCGTGTCTGACATCGATTGCAGTATTATTTCCACTTGCCATGTCGGACTGTACATTCTGCACATTCTTTAAGCTCTCACTCCAGACAAAGAAGAGGTAGCCAACAATTCTCCATCCAGCAAATCAGACATGAACATGAAAAAAAGGGTTTCGAAGGCACGGATCTGTACATTCTGGAGACTACTATTGCTATAATTTCTGCCAAGACATCAAACAGTACTGTCATGTAAAGGCATATATGTAGGAATCATTCATCAGTGTAGTTCAAATACAAAGACAAGGCTGGTTATTACTGATACTGAGTTATTACTGTTCCTCTGGTGATTAGCTTTTGATTATCTCTTGGTTTTTATTTTATAAATACAACACAATAATCACAGTGATCAAAAATCTGAAATTGTTATTATAAGAGTCTTTCTGTGGAAGTTTCTTGCATAATATTTTAAACAATGTGTACAGGCTAACCACAGGAGGGAGAAAACTACTACAGCATAGCCTGTAATATGACTTATATACAGTACAGTGTAGCTGCTTATTTTGATTCATTGCTGGTTTTCTAAAACAACACCTCTTTAAAGCAGCAATAGGGGCCCTGTCTTCTTAGGGACTGGCCAGCCAGCTGATATTCAACTGCAGTGAGCAAAACAGGAGGAATGTTATTTGTTTGATTTAACCATCAACCATTTTAACCTTTATTTATCTGATGAGGTCAGAATTCATACTTATGACCTGCAGGAATGTCATGCAAGTTAAAAAAAAACAGATTATTGCAAATATATTTAAATGAGAGAAATATTACACTCCTATTTCATCAGGATGAATTTGGAACAGCTGTACAAGTTCATGATCTGCATCACACAGCATTAGGTTAAACAAAACCAGGTGTAAGGATTAAAAAAAGGCCAGAGAACCGTTTAAAAACACTATACTTTTCTCTGCATTGCAAGTACAGTATATTAAATAAAGCTCAACCCACATTTCATCAAGTATGGTATAACTCAAGATGATCAACACATTTTCATTATTTTCCAGTACCTTAGTGTCAAAATAAATACATTTGCTCATATAAAGACATTTTCCTTGCTTGTTATTACATAATATAAGTTCAGAGACAATTTTCCAGCATTCTCCGACAATATTGACTCTGAAACTAAAAAGTGCGCATGCTCTCTGACATCATAGAGATGACTCTCGGTACACAGTGACAACAATACAAACACACAAATCAAATACAACTGGGTCCCTAGTGTTCTTCCAGCAGTCGTTACCTTACACTGGCTTGGCCGAATTAAGGGCTTGCAGGATAGTGGGTTTCTCCTCTATGACGCGGACCAGCAGGTTGTCGATGTACTCTTCAAGCTCAACAATCTTGGCGTCCTTCCTGGACAGGTCGGTTTGCTGTTTAACCACCAGTGTGATCAACTCTTCCTGTGTCAGCTGAGTGAAAGGTCCACTTTCCACAGTGTCTGCCACCTGATGGAAATAAAGTGAAGTATATGCATTTTAATTAAAACATCATGTCTGATTTAATTACAGTAAGTACACAGTGAACAGTTAAAGAACTATACACTTTAGAATGCTCTTTCAGAGATGCAGGGTTACATTTAACAATACTTCAAAAAAAATAAAAAATCTTCTCACTTGGTCTAGTTATCAGGTTTTCCAAGGCTTTAAACACGCTGTTATCAGCCAGAGATGTAGTTTTTATCAGGCGTTAAATACTGAGCAAAACAAAGCTTGGTATTTCAGTGTTTTCAGAGTTGACTGTGACAAGGTTTCAGATGTGAAAGATTAAATCACTGGAAGCTGCTGGCTGTATATTACATTCTTTTGTAAATTAAATACTTAATTACAGAAAATGTTCTGGGGATTCATTCAAAAAAAAATTGTAAAAATGCATATTGTATGTTAAAGGCTGATAAAATATTTCATGTAATGCATCTTAGAATTCCTCTTGCAGGAAAATCCAATTAACTTGCTGGAAGGGAATAAGTGAAAACTGTTGGTGTCTGGTCCCAGAACATCATTTATGTCCACATGACAATACCTTAATCTTCCCTGGTGTGGTGTCCCGGCTCTTTCTCCCTTTCACAGCCGGGATGCTGGTGGTGTGCTGGCTCTCCAGTGAGCTTAGGGGTTTCACAGGATGAGGCCTGTAAGGAACGTGCATACATTATTCTAAAGATCACCTAAAGTACAACAATATGTGCAGAAAC